GTAGGCAGATGTCCGTGTGACAGCAGGCACATATGAGTAAAATATGTCACGGACGTTCTCGGGGTAGTTCACATAGGGCGCTGGTCCCTGTAAGTGGGTTTAGTTTTTATGGTGAAGAGGAGTGTAAAGCGTTGCAAGAAGGGAAGGAATAATGGAGTTTCGGGATGTGTAGGGTGGCATCTTAGCCTGTCCGGTCTAAGAAATTGTTCATGCGCACGGTCGCAGAGAATGTAGAAATAGGCATTTCAAAGAAGCTTTTATCATCACCACGATAACTCCGGTTGTCATATTTATGGACAGAGCGTGGATAGTAATTGTTGAAATCGGAACGATCGCGGGACCGAGGCCGAGGAGAAAACCGAGAGGGCTGATAATCGCGGTCACGAGAGGAGGGACGGCTTAGGCGGTGGTCACGACGAGGTGACGGAGCGCGGTAACGACGGGAAGACCATGATGAGGCACGGTTGGTAGGATATTCGGGCCGGCCACGTTGCCGATGACGGTCGTTGTACTCGTTGTTGATCTCCATCGGCCGGGGTCCATTCTTGTCAGGTCGAAGCTTCTTCTCCGGAGGATGATCGGCCTTGTCGACCAGTTTGAGGCCAATCAGCGCTCCAAATCGAGAGCCTTCCCCGAGATGGTTACGGGTGATTGTTGGGTAAGTCGCTGGAGAAGGTGTTTTCCGAATGAAAAAGAAAGGAGAGAGATACCCAGATTACCCAGACAAGGCAGCAGGATGCTTGCCATCAGATCCCTATCCCAAGTTGTGTCGACGCCATTGCAACTTGTTCAACCGACTTCATGTCTCTCCCGACAGCGCAACCATCCAATATCTGCGAGCGTCCGCATGACCATCACCGCAGATGATAGCATTGGCACAGTATGGATGACCGAAAGTGGTCGAAGACGTTTATGCCCCCAGTGCGAAGCCGTCGGCGGAGGCAGAGTAATCAGTCCGAAAGCCTGCAGCATGGAGGGGGCTTCGGGCAGGATGTGATGCTTTGAGCCTATAAAGTAAGAGAAGGCGTTAATAGATGCGTCGTATTCCCACGGTGGCCATGAGCATGGCTCGCTCTACTGGCACTATTGCCCAGGAGCCAAGATCGCCCTCAATACGGGATACGAAGAGCAATGCAGCAACACGACCATGGCCAAAGAACAGTCCTCAAACGCCGGTTGTCCCTTCGATAACCCTTGCTTCTGTGGGTGGTGGGTGTGACGGAGCGTTTGTCAAAACAGGAGGGGGCTCAGCCGACCTCCAAGGGTTCTACTCCTACATTCATTCCTAGCTCTGTCTTTTCTTCTTCTTCCAGTCAACATAAACCGAGCCCGTGGTTGCCTTGTTGCGTACCATTCTCGGTATTATGTACCCTTGCGTTACCCCATCTAAGTACCTGGTAGTCCGCGTAATACTTAATGAGGCTCTGATCAAAGAGACGCTGGGCAGCTAGGGTACTAGGTAGCTGCAAGCGCTGCTCTTGTACCGTTGAAAAATCACTTGCTCACCACCTTGCTTCTTTTCACCTCACCAAAATAAAGGTTTCGGCTAACTACGTTTAGCGCGGGACAATACATGTGTCAGCGGAGGACAAGGACGATGGATATGTGGGGCCAGAATAAGTTACAGTGGCTCTCCGACTTCATGAGGAACGGATGTTCGCTATAAGATTCTTGGACCACATTGCGACAAGAACAGAGGAAGAATGAGGAAAAAAAAGAAATGAATTCGTATGGAGAGAGGGCCAGAATTATTCCTATTTAATTAAAATAGCAGAAAAACATTGGGAAGGTAATTAGGCAATCGAGTGTCCAACCCGCTTCTCCCTTCACAGCTTCCCGAACGCCTCATCCGATTTGGCAGTCAGAACCCTAACCGTAGTCCGGCTCAACTAGAATTAGAATTAGGGTTCCACAACCGCAAAGAAGAAAAGGATGTTACCCCACAAAACAAGCATGTCGGGCTTGATACCAGTACTCTAGCGAGAAAAGCTAGCAGCCAGAAAAGAGGGTGGGGTTAGAGTAGGAAGACCTTGTCTGCGTTGATAAAGACCCCCAACCGGTAGTCTGCATAAGTAAAAATTATTGATATGGCGACCAATGGCCAAAAAAGGAGGATTCGGGATAAAAAGGGAATAAAAAGACATACAACACCAGGGATTCGCTGGTCGTCGCCGACCCAACTACTAGTTCAACTTCAACCCAAAGCGGTCTCATGAGGCTGCTACACTCAACTGGGCAGGGAATGGGATGGTTCTTACCCGACGTGGGAACAAGGTACATCTTCCATGAAACCTTCCAAAGCTCTCAAATGGAGTCATACCGTCAGTACAAGCAACACTTCGCGGGGTTGTCAAGAGCTGACGCTTGGTTTCGAGAGGTTCACGGAAGTTCCCGCAAGGTGACGGTGTCCTTCGCTCAAGCTCGTAACAGCAGGCAGATTAAGGAGGCAGGCTAATGCAGGCAGGTTACGGTAGAAAGATGAAGGAGGTAGGTCAAGGCAGACAAGTGAAAAGTCGGGCTTGTGCATACTTTGAATGGAGTTGGTATCAGATCCTAGAGCTGTGGTTGCCTTGTCGCCCAATCTGCAAGTCTTTTTTTGTTGTTGTTGTTGTTGTTGTTGTTGTTATTTTTAACGTCTACTTCCGCCTCCCGTAGGGCATGAGACGTGCCACATCGGTGAGTCTAGCGTACAAAAGTAAGAGCAGTCCCTTAACTGTCTACCAAAACCATTAACCCGAGGGCGACCCGAGGCCTATTGCCAGTGTAAGTCATGTGTTGCCCACCAATCTGCAGGCGTCTTCCTGTGCCGCATCCCTGCCCCGTATGCAGCTCTCTCAGCCAATTGACTCGTCTACAAAGGTGTTAATGGCTGCGCCAACAGTGTGTTGCAAGCTAACCACCATGGTTATGACATGCCAAAACCTGCCTGCATTAGCCACCTCTTCCCTTCCATCTTCGCATGTCATAACCATGGCTGGTTTGCAACATACCAACTAACACCGTTGTAGAAGAGTCGATTGGCTGAGAGAGATGCATACGGGGCATACTATGTACTGACATTTCTTCTCACAGTGGATCAAATCAGATCTTGCACAAATTTCCAAACCCTCACGCAAACAAAGCCATCCAGAATGCTTACAAAGGGTTTCACGGCGACATCTCTGACGCCGCACGGCCTGCCTCGCCGCCCTACATCGCTACAGACGGCTGCCCAACTCGCCTTGCCTTTCCTGCGGCCGATTCTACAGCCGCCCGTCTATAACGGAGACACTCACAAAGATCCAGAGACCACATCTAAGGACAGGGCTGCCAAGGATTTCAAAGAATGGCTTCTTCAACTAGATTCTTCGGGGATCGTTGTTTATACCGACGGCTCTATGATAGCTAAGCAGATGGACCTTCCAGCGCACGCGGAGGACCCGGAAGCCGAAGAAGACAGACCAGAGAGCGAGTGCGTAGCCTTTGGCTACGTAATCTTCCAAGGACAGACAGAACTTGGCCGCGGATGCGGTCAGTTAGAGAAAGTAGAAACTCATTGCCCACCTCACTCAACAACATTAGGCTTTCTGTCACACGGACATTCGACAATACCACTAATCTCCCCAAGAGCCGCACGGCTGAACCCCAAGCCTTGCCACACGGCTGAACCCCAAGCCTTGCCACACGGCTGGATGTCTGAAGCAACTAGGCTACACTCACCTTCGGGAAGTCTGTTCCTCCAACGGCACAACTTACCCGGAATCTCCTCAGTACCCTTAGCGCCTTCGGCATATTCCAGCCAACGACACAACTGCCGCCTGCACTGCCTCCACGCTAGGCCGCGCTAGCCAGGCCATGAAGGAAGAACACTGAAGGAAGCTATTTAGGAAGACCCACATGTAAGCACAATAGTGCACACTAGATAGATGCATTGTGGCTTTGCGGCCAGATTAGGCCGATAGGGAGATGTACGTACCTATTAGAAGGAAGGAAGGCTTTGGCATAAGAAGGCCAGGAAGTCCAGCCTGGATGAAAGGCTTGAGAGGATTCAACAAGGCCTTCGGGACCAAAGTAGTTTATCAGCGGAATTGAACTACTGTTCCAAGCCCAGAACACTGCCCTTGTCACACTTCCAACAGATTCGCTCTGCAACAGTGGATGTCGCATATCCCTTTCTTTATTCGAATTGGATACTGTGCGCGCCGTGAACATCCGGGCTCAACAAAGCCTTCAACCAATCTGTCAAGGGTTGAAGCGGGTCACAAACATTCTCAAGCTTGCCAATGTGCATCAATCTGTTCCTTAGGTATGATCCGCAACAGCCCAGGTGGAACTGTGTTCGGCTTTGCTGCCTACCTTTGACCTTAGCGCTATTTGGAGGCGTCTAAATCGAATGATAGGTCACTTGCGGTAACATGGAAACTTTCCAACAAAGGTGCGCCGATCCCTCCCTTGAGATAGTTGCATGGTGACCGTGATTTCTCCTATAAGACCGCGTGGTCGTCGATTTTTTATGTCTTGAGACTCCTTTCTCAGAGATACATCAGCAACTCGACGTCTCGGCTCAAGTTCCCTACAACATGAAGGCGTGCGTTGTCCTCACGGGCTGTCTTAATGTCTTCGTGACACTGGTAGATGGAGCCAGCATTCCGACCTACTTTGAACGATTCCCTTCAACTCCACGCCAGTTGAGTGTTGTCCAAGTTCAGCGTGAGCTTGGTGCACGACTCTCCAACACTACCGCCATTTTCGGACCAGATGATTCGCAGTATAAGGAAGCACTTTCGAGATGGAACAGCTTTGTCACACCCAAGGTTCAACTTGTCATCGAGCCCGGCCAGGAATCCGATGTCTCGACTATTGTAAGTTTGCATTCTCCGTCTTGGTACCTTATCCTTTCTCAGTTCATGCATTGACCTCCGACTAGGTTAAATACTGTAACCGCAAAAGCGTCCAGTTCCTAGCCATTAACAAAGGTCATGGAGCGACTTCAACACTCGCATCATTTAACGGCATTCAGATTAACCTGGCAAGCCTCAGAAACATTGAGATTCAACCGTCTGGAAAGTCTGCTTGGTTTGGAGGCGGCGTCTATGACGGTCAGGTCAGCCGATATCTTTGGGACAAGGGATACGTTGCAACAACGGGCGCTTGCGACTGCGTCGGCATGATGGGCCCTGGTTTGGGGGGTGGCCATGGTCGACATGAAGGTCTCTACGGCCTGATCAGCGACAATATCCGCCAACTGAATGTAGTGCTTGCTAATGGCAGCGCCATTCGAGTCAATAAAGACTGCTACGGGGATCTGTTTTGGGGAATGAAGGGTGCAGGACACAACTTTGGAATCGTCACCGGCTTTGAGCTCAACATTTATCCTCGCGGCCCTGACACATGGCATTATCACAACTACATATGGACTGGAGACAAGCTTGAGGCTGTCTTCACAGCCCTCAACAAGCTACATGTACAGAGCAACGGCACTACTCCAACAAACATGGCAGTTAACTATGGGATCTTCTTGAGGAACACCGCCATCAGTGAGAAGGAGCCCCTCATCCAGTGGACATTCGCCTACCGTGGGGGTGCCGCAGAGGCCGAAAACGCCCTGGCTGATTTCAATGCAATTCCGGCTCTTGGAGGTTTGCAGGGAGACGTGCCTTATCCCCAAATACCTGCTTATCAGGGCACTTCAGAAGATTCACCACTTTGTCAGCATGACTTGTACCGCATAACTACTACCGCGGGTCTGCAAGTGTACAACATCACCGCTGAGCGTCAAATTTTTGACGGCTTCAAGAAGCGCATAGCCAACAACCCAGCAGTCGCGGCTGCTGTCAACATCATTCATGAGGGTTATGCTACCGCAGCTGTTCAGGCCAAGAACCCGAATGACTCTGCTTATCCCCACCGGGACGATCACCTACTCATGCTCGTCGAGGTCATCATCCCCCCTGGTAACATAGAGTTGGAAAAGGCTGCGTTGGAATGGACTACAGAGATTACGGCTCAGTGGAATGCTGGTCAGCCTACAAGAAGACCAAGCACCTATGTCAACTATGCCAACGGTGGCGAGTCGCTTGAGTCCATCTATGGGTATGAGTCGTGGCGGTTGAAGAAACTCCGCGGTCTCAAGGCGAAGTATGATCCGTTTAACCGCTTCCGGTTTTACAACCCGATTGTTGGGAGGAGGGCATAATGTCCGCCCCAACATGACCTGAGGTGCTCTCATTTCTGCCGAGTCTTGCTCAATGGTGGTACATACGGTAATGCCTTGGAAGCGTCGACGGTATCTCTCATGTTCAAATTTCGTGGCTGTCGACTGTTGAAGCCATCACCATGTCTTGGCATTCTTGGCACAAGTGGATACGGTCTACATATGGCTACCCTGTCTCGCCTGTATATGAGTCGGACTTTGTCCTCCTTTTCCTCTTGTTCTCTTGCTCTCAACCAATCCATACCTACAGTCACCACCCCATTAATCGTCTCAAAATGATCACCTCCTCCCTAGAGTTGTAATTCAACATCGACTTCATGTTTTGACCAATACGAAGATGAGCTCGCGTGTTTTAGGCCTGATTTCAAGTTTGCTGTCAGAGTTGAAATCGCCCAGATCTGTTTTTCTTCTGTTTCTTTCTGTCTTTTCCATTCGCCAAATATCCGTGTTTGTCCAGCGTCAAACTGGAAGTGTCTCGCAACGTATCTGGTCGTTTGTGCATACATTGTGTTCTCCACCGTGCCCAAGGCATGGTATGTTTCCCTCAGTGCACGGTGTGTGTTGTTGTTGTTGTTGTT